TTTTCACTCACACTCACTACCACTACATTCACTATTTTATGCACAACGAGAAAAACCTTCGTGGCAAGGTGAAGAAGAACACATCAAACAAACGCATTTCACTAGTGGCGTCAGCAGGGCTTGAACATCCTCAAAAGATGACGCATTATCAGCGCACCTCACCCATGCCACCTAAGTGGAAAACATATTTTGATACTGACGTAATGCCCATACACGGTATGCTAATAGACTGAAATGGCTTCCCATCGTCTTCCAGTAATTTATCCRTTCACAACAAGCATTTACGGTAAGAGAGTGTAAGGCTTAAAGAATGCCTAGGAATTTGCCGTATTGTTTCCCACTCATACAAAAACGGTTTCAATCATTTCAATAATACAGCATGTCATAGCATTGACCTAATAGGCAGCAACCTACATCTGGTCAAAGAAAACGTTTTCAAAGATTATACCTTACTTACCCCAGGTATGGCCCATTGTCCGCAATCTTTTCTTTTGATCGCTACAAATTCAAGAACTGGCTTGTCATTTTTGTAGAATTTTTTCTCCTCAGTTGTGTGCTTCCATCTGAAAAACATGAAGTGCTGGTTACTTATCGTTAACTAATTGATGTACGTAATAAACAATTATTGGATGATGTTGAGTATGTTATCTTAAAATATCAAGACCAAGGCTGTATTATCTTGATAATTCACATTATTATACATTGTACTCGCTATCTGAATTCTAATTGGTCGAGAACCTACAGATACTTCTAGCTATAATAGCATGCGCCAGCGATTTATCAGCGGTCGATAGTTATGATCTTTAGGCAGTTATTTGCAAAAAGTGAGCCTGCATAGGTCAGAGGATGGCAGTTATTTCGCCAATAAGTTTATCCTGAAACTTTGCATGGGCATTACTTATGTTATGGACATTTAAAAACTGCAATTTAAAGATGGGTTCACCATTCTCGCTTTTTCGCTAGATGCACCCTAAATATGGTAATGMAATGCGGTAGCAACCAGAAGCTGTAATCAAGAACCTTTATTCACAGTTAAAAGTACTTTCATATAACAAAACGTACTTAATATATATTTAGGCACTGTCTAAAAGCGGATACAATATCAAGTTTAGTGAAATTTTACCTGTTTTTATATGAAATGTATTTTTACCGCATGAAAATAAAAAAATAAATGCTTTGGTAGCAACCGAGAGAAAATTGGCTGGRGATCATTCACTAACTAAACTTAAGAAATAAGACCCTGAACGTTAAAACCAAATGAGCATCAGTTAAAAAATAGCTTTCTTATCCTAATTCTTCATTAATATGTTTTTATTTCTTCCATATAAGCCTTAACTACTTTTCAAGAAGCTTGAAAACTTAAGCTTACTAGATTTTGAGATACGATTTTACCAGTTTTCATCTGTTTTCATGTGTGACAAAGATATAATACGGAACTGATCACGAAAAACAAAAGTTTTCCAAAAACAAAGTTTACATTTAGTTAAACTTGACAAGAACCGACTGAGACAGAAATATAGAAAAAAAAATGCAAAATGCAATGCAAAATACAAAATGACGAATTTCTTTGTCAGTAAATTGGCATTTGTAAATGTTTTGTCTAGGTCTTTATACAATAACATCTCTCAACAACACAAATTTAGCTCATTTTTATAATCATACTTGCACGAACCGCTTAATAAACAGTTGAATATTGGGTGTAAATTTATATTTCATTCAATAATTAAATAAATTATCTGTAGAAAGATATAAAATTATTGAATGAAAGTCTTCTTTGGTTTGCCGATGGGACCATGCGATAGGAGGCGAACAAAGCTGCACTTGAACGAAAAACATACGATAGTTGGTTAAAATCAACCGAATTGTTAAAGATTTACAAAGCTAAATAAAGGACGCATATTTGTCGTAATATGCTCTCCTTGTTATATTCCTCCAGCATTAAAATGAATTAAGGATATCTATAGAAATATTAAAAATTTTGAGAGAAAGTTTTGTCGATTCGTCGAGAAAAATTTTATTAAGGGTAACCAAGTTGAAAACTGGTTGAAAACAAACTGGTTGAAAACATACTGGTTGAAGGTTTATTCGAGTTTGTTGCGTTACGTTTGTACTAGCCATATTTGGAATGATGATGTAAGTGATCACGCAACAGTATTCGTAATTTGAAAAATAAATCAGTTCTGCTCCAGATTTTGTGCTGTTTAGTTGTGATATTGTTTAGTTCAAGTTTTAGTTTTAGTTTCACTTATTTTCTTGGGACCTATCTTGGAAAAGACCTGCAATGACTTTCATCATTCTTGAGGTTCAACATCCACTTGGTCACATAAGTATGGTGGTCCGCTCGCGCGGGCCTTCGGCTAAGATTTGGGAAAAATCACCTAGTAGCCAACCAATCAGAATCGAGGATTTTTGATGGTCATGTTATTGATATTGAAAAAAACTTCTCAAAATTCTCTACTTTCACATCCCCATAATCCTTTGCGTCTTTGGGGGGTAACCAGAGGGTAAAAACCCACTTATTTTGCTGAAGGCTGATCAGACAATGTTGA